GGATCATTCTGCCCGAGGCAGGCGCTGTGTGAGGGTTAGATGCCTGGCTTGCCTCGCCTCGCCAGCCCTGGAGGCAGTGTGCCCTGGTGCTCTCCAGCCCTCCACTGCCTTCACTCTTCTGGAAGCACTCTTCAGAGGGCCAGCTTCTCCTAGTGGCCAACCCTGCCGCAGGCTGTCTCCCAGGAAACCAAGCTGAGATAACGAGACAGGGAAGCGGGATCCACTCCAGTAAGATGCCAAAGGCGAACCATGAGACGTGCTCCCAGTGGCAGAACCGCGGCTTGGCAGACCATCGGGTCTTCTACTGAGACAAGCAAGGCAGGAGGGCTGGGCCCGAAGCTGCAGGATTGACACAGCCTACCAAGGCAAAGTTCTGGGCACGGGGAAGCAAGGACCCGTGAGGGGCTGTGGAGAGCCCTTCTGCACTGCAACAGGCTCCCAAGGCTGTTAGAGATTGCTTGGCTTTACTGCCACTCCTTTCTAAGAAATATTTTGGTGTCTGTTCTTATTTAACTTTTATTCCACTGTGATTTTAAATGTTCCTCTAATCCGATTATTCAATCTCCATAAAAGACAGACAAAACAAAAGTCTCTCTCCACGCACAGCAGCACCTGCACCACTACTGCGGGCAGCACAGCAGCAGTAACACAACGCAAACCGCACAGCTTCCCCATCCCGGTCAGCTGGGCAAACGTCTCCAATATTTCAAACTTTATTTTGGGACTGATACTCTGACACGGCCATGGCTCCTCTGAGTCATCTACTTCTCTGCCTCTCCTGTGCTCCGGACACTCGATCACCTTCTTACTGAATGCCATGTCTGCCTTCTGCATTCAACATGAGCACAGCGTTGAGAACTCAACGTCCCCTCCTGCCCTCACTTTGCCCACGTGTGGCGCTCCTCCTCACCCTTCACCATCTCCTCCCACAGCACATACCCTGGGAACGCTGCACTCCTGCTTCTCCCATCTTCAGCACCCTGTTTACCTATTAGTCTACAGGATCACCCTCCCCACTGAACTCTGGGCCCCTGAGCCAGTAAACAGGTGCTTACTAAATGAGCAGGTTCAACAAGGTGGTCATCTCGTGCTGCACGTTCTTTAAGACGTTTTCCCCAGGCTTCAGGGTCCTCCTATGGCTCACATCAACTTGAGTCAGGACACTGAGCTGGGACACGAGGTGACACAGTTCACCCTTGTTGATCTCAGGTTCTGGGGTATGAGGCTCACTTGGTGTCGTCTCACCAGTGGCTGCTGGTCACCAGGTAGGAGCAGGTGCTCTGCCACTTACAGTAGGGCCAGGTCCCTGTAGCCCCATCCCAGGCTGAGCGTAGCAGACATGGGAGAGTCCCCCAGATGCATCACCTGGTGACACCACAGCTTGCCAGCACACTGAGCTGTCCACCGCGTCCCCTCAGGAACCTGGGTCTCAAGGGAGCTTCAGCTCACTGCTGTGGGTCAGCATCAGGAGAGGATTGGACCACATCCAGAGTCTGGAAAAGATGGAGGTTCACAATTCAAAGTGTGGCTTCTCTGTCACTTTCAAATCACAATGAAGTAAAAACCTCTTGAGGTCCAACAGTTGCCCGTCAGGAGCACCGAGCTGCCGTGACTGCCTGCGAGGGTTCCTGAGTCCTCACTCCGTCTTTGTGCTACGCCCTCACTTTGCTGCCGATGAAGTGAAGGCTGTGAAGGTGACCTCACTCCCTGAATCACACAGATAGAAAGGGACACTGTGCTCCAGCCACAGCCAGCAGTCCTGAAGCCCCTGTCCCCACCTTGTGCCCTCTGTGCCGCTCTGACCCTTCTCATTCACTGTCTCCCTGCCTGACTCTTGTCCTAACATTTGAGGATTTCTCAAAGGCGAAAACCCTGACTCCTGGTCATGGGCATTTCCTGTGGTGTCCAGTCCAGGCTGGCTCGTGCCAAACTGCTTCTGAGTTGAACCTTTAAGCTCAAGGATTCAGCAGGTGTTGCCAAGAAGGCCAACAGGTAGGAAGTGGCTCAGACTTGCCTTCCTTCCCCCTGTCCCCGTGCCTGCCCTGTACCTGGGAGGAAGTTTGGGCTGAGAATCCCCACAGAAGCTTGATGGGAGTTGATAGGGGATGTTATGGGGAATCAGGGGTCGGAGGGGCTCACAAGTTCAGTTGTGATGAGGGACTTCAGGCTCCACTGCAGTTGATGAGGGACTAGTGAAAACACTGGAACCTTCCAGGAGCCACCAAGCCATTCTAGGCAATGTCATCTATCCAAATACCACTGACCCTATGCAGGTGGCCCTGTGCCGGCCATCAGTGCAGGGCTGCGGGGCACCCTGGGGCACACCACACCTCAACCTGCTTAATGCTAGGGGCCAAATCGTGCCCTCCACAACTGGCCTGTGAGACCTTTCCCCAGGGTGGCTGTATTGGAGTGGGGATCCCTGGAGGTAAGGAAGGTCAAATGAAGTCCTCAGGTGGCAGCCTCTCTGACAGGCTGTGGCCCTGGGAGTGCAGGAAGTGGAGGCCCGGAGGAGAGGCTCCTGATGGCCAGGAGGAGCACACACTGGGGCATCCCCTGCTCCTGGGCCTCACACCTCCAGGTGCTCAGCCTGTGGCACTGTGTGGGGGTGGCATGAGCTCATTAGCCAGGGTCGGCTCAGCACAGCCTGCACCGAATGCCTGGGTCCAACAGGCTTCCTAGAAAACGTGACGTGGAAGACGGAGGAGGAGTCCATCCCAAGAACACACCCTGGGTGCTCTGACACCCAGCAGCAACTGACTTGGGAGGATGATTGGCTCTGAAAGCTGGTTAAACTCCAAGAAAGAACCAAGAGGTCGGCCAGTTCAGAGTGTGGCTGAGGGAGTTCCAGGGACTGGTTGAGCTGGCCCTGAATGAAAACACAGCTTCTGGGCAGTTTCCCAGACCCTCCAGGAATGAGCTGCACAGAGAAGCTCTGTGTGCATACATATCTAAGGGTGTGTGCATAATATCTCTGTGTGTGTGTGTGTGTGTGTACATATAGATACGCATGTGTGAATGTGTGTGTGCTTGTCAACTTTCTGTCTCTGGGACAAAATACATGAAGTCGGTAATGTAAGAGGACAGAGGATTATTTCGGTTCATGGTTTCAAAGGTTCACCACATGGTCCCTTGGCCAGGTTGCTCTGGGGGCTCTGGCGAGCCAACACATCATGATGGAGGAAAGACACCCACCTCTGGCAGCCAGGAATCAGAGGGAGAGGAAGGGGCCACGGCCCCATATCTCCCAACCACCAGACTTCCTTGCACAAGGCCAGTCCTCCTAACGGTTCCACCACCTCCCACAGCACCCCTGGCTGGTTGCCAAGGGTTCAGCATGAAGACTTTGAGGACACTCAGAACTCAAACCATGAGTTTTACATTCAGACACACATAGAAAAGTGAATTTGCAGAACAAGGGTGCATCCACACTCCAACAAATATGTAAACAACTCAGAAAACAAATCCACCCTCTGCTTTCTAAATAACTGTGGCTTATTAAAATCCACCTATTAGTGTGAATTGTTAAGAACAGACTGTTCTCATTAAAGTATACCATGCTAATTGCCTTTAGAACCTTTATAAGAAATTATGTGGAAATAAAATGATTGCATATGAACTCAGTTCTGTTAAACGATATGCATAACTGGAAGGGACTTGAGCTAAATTAGCAGCTACCACTGGGTGATGTAATTATAAGTGACTTCTATTTTCTTCATTTTGCTTTACACTGTTTTTCAAGTACTCACCAAATGTGTAGATTTTAGAGTTATTAAAAAAAAAGGGTTAAGATCTTTCTGATCTGTGAAACCCATCTGAGTGGCACCTTACCTACACCAACCACTATGAGGGTTTCTGTGTCATTAATCATGACCTGATGGGAGACATGTTCATGAGCACTTGACGTGGCACTGTGCCCTGAAACGTGGCTGTCAAGGGCCTCACCACCATGATGAAAGACACATATTTCCCCCAGAGTCTCCTTGCCTGTCCTTGAGACCCTGGATCTGACCTGGAACACTGGGGAGGTTGGCAGGTGTTAAAGTGGGGACAGCAGAGGGCGGTGCTGCCCCTGAAGATGGGAGTGTTTATGACCGGAGTTCACATGCAGGGCTAGTTGGAGAATGGTGCAGGTCTCAGGAGGACCGCATGCAAGTCAAGAGGGGCCAGGTGGACACGAGGGCCAATAGGCAGAGCCCCAGGATGGAAGGAGGAGGCATAATCAACTCATGGGCTGGTGGCATAGAGGCAAGACCAGCAGGATTTTTCAAAGGCGCCATGGTCTGAGTGGACAGCTAGCAGTCAGGGTGCTGGGGACAAGCTCTGCATTGCCTCAGAATGCTGGTGATACCAGGCACTGTCCCTCTGTGCTGGATCCGTCCCAAAGTTCAGGACTCTGCCTGGCTCCCTCCCCTCAGCCTGTTGCCCACCACTCTGAGACTTCTGAGTCATCAGGGAGACGCTCACTGCCACTGTGTGTGGACTGCTCACTGCAGAGGGCGGTCATGCTGTGGGGCTGGCCCCAGGCTTCTGAGTCAGTGCATGGACACCTCGCACGTCTGATGAGCAAGTCCTGCAGGGACGATGCTGGGACCAGGCCCCTGCCATCCTTCGGGGACCTGGTCTAGAGCAGCAGGGTTCGTTCACCCCAGCCCTCCGGCCCCGGGGTTGTGCATCTGTGGTGAGGGCTGAGCTGCCCTGCCCCTGACCCCGGGAGAAGTTGTCTCTCACGAGATGATCAGGTGTCAAAGGGCGTTGGCTTTGATTTTAGACTGGAAAGCGTATTTTCTCCCGTGGTTCATCTCCATCCAGTCTTCCTTTAGAGTGGGCTGTCTGAAGTGGACTTATTAATATTGATAATCTTGTTGATTAAATTTTAAAGCGCACTTGCCGTTAGCCATTGCAGTTTGTGAAAACACACACTTACTGTCAACACACAACAAAGAAAGGCTTCATAACAGTCAGCGAGTGAGACAAAACTATTTTAATATATTGCTACATGTTACAAAACAGTCTCTGTCCAAACACAACTTACTTAATAGAATACTTTCAACAAGAGCAAAACACACATAATACATTATTGCTTAAAGGGACCTTATTGCTACAGTGTTTGCTTATTTGGTTTTCAGTCTATGCAGCAATTGGACTCCAAAATCTGATAGAGATAAAATAGGGCCTATTTTTCAGATAATTCAGTGAAACGAGCTCAATCACCTTCAATTTGGGGGGAAAAAAAGGAAACTGCTCTATGATATATCATCTAATAATAGAGATGGTTAGTGCCAAGTGGACACTGAACTTAAGCAATAATTGAAAGCACCACAAAACATTTGTACTTACACTTGAAGTAAGATATATAACTAAACTATGCTTCATTGTCTCAATAAGAAGCAACATTTTCCACAAAACTAACACTCATATTTAAAACGGAAAAAAAAGCAAAACACTATGTAAAACACTATGTGAGCTTAAATATTATTGCAGTGTTAAAAATTCCCATTTCTTCCTTTTAAGAAAAAGGGACATTTAAATATTTTAAACATCAATGCTTTACAAATCCTGACGGTAAATGAGAGGGTTAATAGCAGCTCAAACAGCTGGAAAATATACTTAAAATAGCTTATATCTCAAATGCACCTCTTGTTTTGCATCATATTTTCCTTAGAGGAAAGACAAGCAGTTTCCCTCAACTAGAAATAAATCTAATCCACTTCAGAAGATTTGGGCTTCAGTGGGACCTGCCTTCAGATCAGCTGGCTGAGCCCTGGCAGCACATCAGAGCATCTCAGGGCTTTCTCACACAGGGCCAAAGCACACTCATGCAAACGACAAATCTGTTTCATGTTCCAGCTGATTACATCTGGCAAGGCCTGCTTAGGTGCCATCAAAACCCCTGGGGAAAACGTTTCCTGATTCATTTTTTTCTCTTGAAAAAGGAAAAAAAGTAGAAAATACAAACAATTATCTAATTTTGGATGGGATACACATATTTCAGTTGAATTATATGACTTAAAAACTAAAATAGGAATATATTTTTTAAGAAAAAAAAAATCACAAAACCAAACTTTTCAAAATCACCAAGCCCTGTAAAAGGCCCTGAGTTCCAGCCCCAGTGCTGCAAAAACAAAAACATACAATAAAAAAGGGAAAGTCATAAAACAAAAAAGAAACAAAATTACCAAGTCCTGAAATTTGATTATGAACAGGGAAATTTCTACAAGTTTCCAAATGAAATGAGACACTAAAGTGCCCCCTAGTGAGGCCTTCTGGAATTGCAGTCTAATTAAATTGGCAAAAAAAAAAAAATTTCTATGATTTTGCTTCCTTGAAACAATGATAGGAAATTATTCTATTCCAGGTAACGAGATACTATCTAAGTTACATAATGAAACCACATGATGTATTTATACAAGGAGAAAATGTTGATCAAGTGTCATTATTTCCTATGCTTCCCTCTTAGAGCTAGAAAAGAAAGGAAGAGTTTTCTCTCCTACTGGCCTAGACTGTATCTTGTTTCCACTGACTCAACGTTAAAGGAGAAATGCTATAAGGTGTGCTGTGGCTTCACTTGCATAAACTGCAGGTGCACTTGGCGGGTTTTTATGGAATAGCCCACACTGTCAATTTTCAGAGCTTTGAAGACAAACATCTGGTCAAATGAAAAGTCACGTTTTCACTTGACACTCCCATGCCCTGAAAAGTAGGTGTTCACAGCAATTGAAGTCCCACTCTTGTTCCATCTCAGGGAACGTGGAGTCTGCTGGTTGTGCCAAGGGTCTTTGAAGAAGAATCTGTGTAGCACAGACAGCACGGGCACCAGGGGTCCCCTTGCTCAAGAAGCAGGTGCTCCTTGGAGATAGGTGGGTTTCCTTCATTGTTCATTAAAATGTCTGTGGACCATTTCTAYAATTCTAAATAAAATTCCCAAGATTTCAGTGATCTAAAGACAGAAAATGAAGGAGCTTTACAATAAGCAGAAGTAACTGGAGGCAGTATTTGATAATATTTCTAAGGTGAAAAGTGACATTTCAATCAGTGTTTAGCAGGAAATAACTGATGATCAAATAAAAGAAAGACAAAAACGAAACTGGAAAAAATAGCTTTGAAATAAAAACACAGCAGTCACAGGAAATTTTGCTGAAAATACCAAATCCATTGGAATTATGGATTGCTCCCCCCTCCCTTGCCCAGGTATCCTTGTAGCTTATTTCTCACCAAGGCATCTTTGAACTAGATGATTGTGCTCTTGTTCACAGTCGGCTGAGAACCTTTTAAATAACAATACAGCACTAAGCCAACTAACTGAAGTGTGGACTTCAGTTCCGCAGGTGATTTCTATGTTCAGTGCCCACAGGCAATTCGACATGATGCGCAGGTTTCTGGCCACTGAGAAAGACCAGTGTGCAGGTCCTGTAGACCACGGCAGCCACACGTGGGGCTGGCCTCCGGTGGGTTGGCCCTTGCTCTGCTGACAGCGTCACCAGTCCAGTTTCAGGTCGGCCTTGCTCCAGACGTACTTTCCTCCTCGCTTCAGAAACATACGTTCATCAAACCCACTGAATTTTATAGCTTCTTCCACTCCAACGTCCAGGATAGACATGGAAGGATCCTTCCGGCCACTTCTGCAGTTCAGAAAGCGCATCTAGGAAATTTAAGAAAGAAATCAGTCTATTTCCATAAAGTTTATGCTGTAAAACCCATTTTGAGGTATCCATGCAAAATATTTTTTTAATATTCCAATCATGTCAATAAATGATGACTGAGAACGGTGGCCAGAAACTGAGCTCCCTAAGCTTCACCCCCCACTCATGTAACTCAGGCACTGAGGAAGAGGTGAGGTCCGCTGAGAGCCTCAGGCACAGGATGAGGGGCTCACTACCATGGCCCCCAGCAGAGGCGCCATGCTGATCTGGAGAGACTTGGCCCCAGTGTGGGAATTTGTTCTGAAAGTTTAAAGGGAAGGGAAAGATCCCGCGAAGGCCTGGGGGCTTGGGGAGCACTGTGGTGGGAAACTGTAGGTAATGGCCTTGCTAGGGAGACAAGCACACAGCCATGTCACTCTGCGTCCCAAAAGGATTCTTTCAAGAGTGGGAGAAAGAGTGGTAAGAAAGCAGACGCTGAGGCAGGCCAGCACCAGACCAGCAGAGCCACATGGGCCGGCCTCGCTCTTTGCTTCATCTTGTCCGTCTTATTTTAATTACTTCAGCCTCTTTTCCCTACTTCTTGTGCAAGAATGAGGTCTTTAGGTTTCGTGTGACCTACACTGACAATTTTGTAGAGGATCGAATCATATATGTTGCAGCAGAAAGTTGTTAAATTGGCAAAAGCAGATTTTGGGTCAAGTATGTTTGATCCAATTCTGTGGAGACCAGACGGGTTGTTGCAGAACGTTGGTCAAAGCCCCGGGACCCATCAGGGCCACCTGCATTCCCCAAATAAATGGTTTCACTTTCCTCTTGGCCTTGGACTTGTTAACTGAACATTTCCAATACTACTCTTTCCCTTATGTCCCACAAAGAAAGCTCATGTTGATAATAAATGAAATTGCTATAAAGCAACTCGGATGAACTTGAAACTAATGAAATATAAAAGTTATCTTAAATATCCCTCAAAGAAAATCCAATCTAAATATTGAACCCATGGTTCTTGTTTGCACTCATTTCTTCTGAAAAACATATCTTTGAATGGAATTATTTGTCTTTTGTTAGACATATTGACAAAAGTTAAAAATCTGGACCAAAAAAATAAAAATAAAAAAGACAAAGGAAAAGAAAGTGGATTCTCTTCCAGTTGTGAGAGGGTGGGTTTTCCCTTTCCTATGGAAGATGATGAGGGAAGAGGATGTGAGTGGTGCTTAGAAAGGAAAGGAAGGGCAAGGCCCCTCTGCCACTGCCAAGGTTAATCAGCCAGGGAGTGAGCTGCCTATCAAAGGAGATGCAGTCCAGGGCCTTTTCATGTGCTGGGGGTCCTTGTGAGGTCCACGGACACCAGGCCAGGCAGGAGCCACACCATATGGCAGCTAGTGCCAATCCAGGGACCTGGGCCCAAGCCAGTGCCTGTGGAGGTGCTGGGCACATATGGCAAAGGGACCCCCAGCTGTATCATTTTAATGACCCTAACTGGCCAAAAACCTGTGACAGGCCATGAAGATGGACAAACGGGTCCTACATGATGGCATTCAGCTCAGCGCTGGACTTGCTGCTGAACTAGCTTTTCAGTGATAATTTCATAACTCAAGAGAAATACTCACATATTCATCCAGGATAAGGTAGGAGTCTTTCATCTGCAAAGAAGGAATTGCATACAAATTTAGTCCTAAGCATATTTTTCAGTGTGTATTTTCAACTGTCTATAATAAAATGTGCATTTGGGTTTTGTAATTCTAGGTTTAATATTTCTTATCTCATTGGAGTGGCTTTTGGTGAGACCCTCATAAGGGGAGGGACTGTGTGTGTGCCTTCAGAGCCCCACAGGTTCAGCAGGCCTGGAAGATCTGCATCAAACAGAAAGGTCAAGAGAAGGAGCCACTCCACTGCACATTCCCTGACAGTGGCCCTCAGTGTTCCCTGACTGTGGACCCTCTTTCTGATGTACCAGGCCGAGCACTCTTCAGTGCTAGCACGTGGGACTACAGGGGGGCTTCTCTCATCGATTCTGCCGCGCTAAGCTGACTGACAGTAGTGGTACATTGTGTGTGTGGAGGGATTCCTGAACTTCCAGCAGGTAGACGGACCTTCTGCCCCCACCGACGGACATGGGGTAAAGGAAACCTGGGTGGGAGCCTTTGGGGAGCTGAGATGCGCAGGTGGGTGAGGAGCTCTTCATACAAGGATGGAGACCGAGAACAGTGCCATCTTTCATTGCTTTCCTTATTTTCTTCGCCCTCACACTATGTAATTAAGATGGAGGTGGGAAGATCCCGTAAACAGAGACCCTGCGAGAGGGCTCCCTCCACTTCCTCACTGCTCCCTGAAGCCTGTCCTGCTCTCTCTCCATTTGGGGATTTTCTCACTCAGGCTTAGTTCAATATCACCTTTAAACTCCAGCCATCCATCAAGACCTTCAGAAGCCAAAGCATAAGGAATCAATTTCTGTCCCTGGAATTCCTGACATTATGCGAGCATCCGGGGGAGAGATTTTCTGTGTGTGTATTTTGGGGTGGCAGATGGGAGAACCTGTTTTAAAAATACTTCTTCAAATAACAAATCTTATCTTTTACAAATTGGAAGATCCAAAAAGTTTAAAATCCACCAAATTATTGGAATTTGCACTACTCTGGGGGGGGATATGTATGGATTTTTTTTTTTTTTTTTTTTTTTGCAGATCAGCATTGAGTTTCAAATTGATTTTGCATGTTGGTTTTCAACTTTACTAATATCATGTGATGAGATCTTATCCTGGTAACATAACACTCTTAAATATGCTTTATTCAGTAGACATTTCACTATGCTAATGTACTAATGCACCTGTTCCTGCCCTACGGCGAAGCAAAGCTACCTTCAGTTTATTTCTATTGTTCTTAATGCTGCAGCAGCAAACCTTTATATAAATATTTCTTTGCATCTTTATATAAAGATTTCTTGTGTTTTGAAGTAGAATTTAAGAATCAATATATAAGAACACTTCAAAGGTTATCATAATAAATGATCAGTTTGTTATCTAGGAAATCCATGGGCATTATCCTTCTACTAACCACATGAATCACCTCTTACTGCATCTTCAAATTTCATATTTAAATTTCCATTTTTTTTGAATACTGATAATATCAGAGACTGTTAAAATGTTTATTCACTCTTTGATTTTCCTGTGTAAATCATCTGTTTGTGCCCATTAGCTGATTAACTTTCTCTGTTAGCAGGTTCTTATTGATTTAAAGAACTTTTTATATATGATACTTTATTTTATATAATTTGGTGTAATTTCAAAAAAAATGATGGTAGCATATTTTACTTTTAATTTTTATGATGTATGTAGCTTATAATTTTAACTTTAATGTACTCAAATTTTGGCATTCATAATTGTTTAAAAATGTGCATAACTTGCATTAATAAGGCATTTCCTCCACTGTGGCAGGAAGAACGGGAATCATTTTTCTTTAGATTTTGAGAGTGCATTCATCAGTGACTGCCTCTGGTAATTCCTGAAATCCCAGCAGAGACATGCTTTGGCCAACCCTGCTGAGTCTATGAGTGGAATTTGTCCTTTTAGGATGCATTCAATTGTGCTTACACCAGACAACTAAAGAAGTGGCAAACCATTTCTTCTACCTTCTACCCAACTTCTAAAGTTTTTCCTAGAAACATTCAAGTGAATCAAGTGATGATGTTGATAGCAAGAGAATGGCATTCAAGAGCTCCCTCCTCCTTTCACAGAAGTAGAAATGCTAAGTTTATAGCAGCATGGGTTGAGATGGCACAGTGGTGATACATGAAGTCACATCACCTCTGGGTGGCACTCTGCCTTCCCGGAGGGAGACACTGAAGCTCCCTGAAAGCCCACCGTCAGCAGGTAGCCAGGGTGGACCTGGGCTTTTCTGGCTTGGGACCCACTCCTCCCTCTCTCTGTGCTGAATCCCCTGAAACCACAATCTGTCCGTATGCAAGTCCTTGGGCCAGGATTCCCTGCTCTGGAATCAATCTGAAGGCAAGCAGGAAAGCCCACTGGGCTGTATACAACCTTCTGGTTGGACTCGGGCACCAAGCAGGACACTCCTTTGTGACGCTCTAAGAATTCTTCAAACTCTTCGTCACCGATGACGAATCTTTGTGCTTCTCTCAGGGCATCGTCTCCACAGTTCTCGCCCTCAATCAGGAGGCACTGGAACACCTGAAAGGAGGAGAGCTTGTGGGCAAGGCCGGCATCCGCTGGACCCAGCCCCACCCCTGTCCAAACTCCAGCTCCGCGGCCCGGAGCTCAGCAGTCCTGGGGAGACCTCACGCTGGGAAAGGAAGGCCGCCCTGGAATTCAGGAATATGATGTTAGAAGCACAGACATTCTTAAAATAGAAATCCCTCAAACTGCCTAGAGTATGTTTGATCTAAGTTTATGATCCAATATTTTCAGACTACAAAATCATTCATGTTTTTTGAAGAAAACAGGGACTATTAAAAAGCATAAAAAATAACAACTGTCATCTTCAAACCAAGAGAAAACTATTTTAAAAATATTGTTGTTTTTGCTGATTTTTAATATATCCTAAGTACTTTTAAACCAGGTTTGCTTTTCACTTAATACATAAGGACCAATTTTTGAAGTCATTAATACAGTTTTTCATTCTTCTTTAAAGTAAATAAGTGTGTACATGACTGTGCGTGCATAGATGTTTTTGTGAGTTTGTATGTGTGACCGTGTGTCCAAGTGTGTGTGTTAATGTGTGTGCTGACTGTGTGAGAGTTGAGTGTGCACACTGCATTACCCCACCCTGAGCAGTACTGTCATTTGAGCAGGGAGGCCCCAGGGAAGGCAAGCAACCAGGCAAGGTGTCCCAGGTGGCACAGGGTGACAGAGCTGAAGCAGAACCCGGGGCTAACAGGCTTTTGTGGAACAGGTTTCTCTACACGGAATTAATCAATAGCATCTGGATTAATTTGAGGCTGTTTTAGTCAGTTAGGGCTAATGTCATAAAGCTCTAAAGACGGCCTCTAGGGCTGGGGACATAGCTTAGTCGGCCGCGTGCTGGCCTAGCATGCGCCAGGCCCTGGGTTCAACCCCCAGAAGAAGATGGCCTCTCGCTCTGTGTCCTCCCTCTGGCACACGGTTGCCTGCCGAGGGCTGCCGCGCCCGTGGCCTCGTGGGAAGAGGGCACCCCAGGAAACCAGGGAGCAAAGGGACCAAGCAGGGGCGACAGCTTCCACCTGCCAACAGCCTTTGAAGATCAGCCTCTAGGTGAGCACAGTTTTCCAGGGAGGGAAGCTCCGCCCTCTGAGAGTCAGGTCTTCAAGGGCAAGAAGTGCCCTTGTAGTGGTCAAAAGAGTGGAGTAAAAGTCTGGGAGATAAGAGGAGACCCAAGCAGTGGGGGAAGTCATACATGTATGAGAACGATGAGATGGCAGGAGAAGAGAGGAGGGACCAGGACACAGGGACAGGACAGCCGGCTCCAGGAGGAGCTCCCAGCCTCGGAGGGCAGCCCCCCAGCTGCTGCCTCGGCCTCCCTCCTCCTCACAGTCCCCACTCGTCCTACCCACTGTCTTCCTTTAGCTTTGTCTCAGCTCCTTCTAGACCGGGGTGCATCAGCCTACTTACGTACTTCACCAAAAGTTCAAGTTCAATGTCGCTATTTACAATTTCTTAAACAGATTTTTTAAAAAAGTATACTTACTTAAAAAAAAAAAAGCTTATACTTGCTTTGTTTGCATATGGAAATGGATTAGGGGAAGAATTTTTAGATTAAAACTTGAATTTTTAAGTTTAAGTTTTTAAGTAGCCGATTGCCAGTGTCTGCATGTTGCCAGGGCTGTCTGTGCTAAGCGGGCTTGTGCCTGTGAGCCTCAGACTCCGAGGTGGGACCAGTCCCAAAGCACAAGTCTTGGGATAAAGGCCCGGTGTTGCTCCCGGTGGGGAAGCCTTGATTCCTAATGCCTTCCAATAACTCAGTGCACACTCAGTGGCATCCGGCTCTGCGGAGAGCATTGCTCCCTGTCAGTCAACTCTGGGCTTCCCAGAGACACACCCCAGCACTGAGCATGACCTTCATCCTCACTGTATCTTAGGAGAACATCATTCCTGGGTTCAGAGGGAGCGTGAAGCACAGCAAGCCGTGGCTGGGAGTCTAGGGAGCCAGAGGAGACCAAGGACCTAGCTGGATGGCCTGGAGCTCTCCAGTGAGGCTCTTTCCAGCTTCGCTGAGCTCAGCCAGGAACAGCAGTAGCACTTACCTTCCAGCGAACAGGGTTCAGGGCTTTAATCTGCTCGTTCATGTCCTCGTCCACGTTGAACCGGTTGATGACAGAGTTGATCTTGAAAGCCACTCTGTAATCATTGCACCACTTTCTCAGCTTTTGAAGATTTTCCACATGGTTCTTCTTTCCTTGGCCACGGCCAATAAGGACGTTGACTTCCTCATCAAAGCTGTCACAGGAAATGGCGAGAATGTCCAAGTAGTCACCTGTGGTAAAATGGTCAGCTAAATTTTTCTGTCCAAGGAACAAGTGCTACAGGTCACATCAATCAATTCATGATACAACATATTTTGTTTGCATCTGGGTTCTAATTTTTTATGTGACACTTTCCTCATACCTATGAAACTTGCTGAGATGTGAACTCTACTGGTACTTGTATAGAGTATTCGTTAAAAAACCACACATGTGCCTGGGTGCAGTGGTGTACACCTATAATGCAAGCAACTTGGGGGGCCGAGGCAGGAGGATTACAAGTGTCAGGCCAGCCTCAGTAGCTTAGCAGGACACTTTTGCAAAATTAAAACAAGAAGGACTGGGGATATTGTGTCCCTGAGTTCAACCTCCAGTACCTCCCTACGCACAAAGTCTATACACATAATTAATGATGGATATACATATTTGATCATTCTAAAACCCTACTCTCCTACTTGCATGAGCTCCAATTAATATGCTTAATATTTTTCATTTATTTCTTTATAGAAATCATATAATTTATGAAGCAAGCAGATAGATATTTTGGACGCTTCCACACTTAGCTATGAGTATAGATTTGCTTTTCTTTTTCTACCACACAAATACAATTGCTTGGTATAAGAGGGAGCACGAAGCACAGCAATTTTTTGGCCAAGTTCACCAGCTTCTTCCTGACGTATTTTGTACCTTTGATTCACTATCTAAATATTCACAGAGACTCTATGTGGTGTCAGGTACAACCATATTAGATGCTGAGCAAACCCAGATAAAGCGTTTGAAGCAAGGGTGTCGGGGCCCCTCCCTGTAGAGTAGCATATTGACAGCTCAGATAGTGGGTCGTTCGGAACCCAGAACACGCTGAGTGTGATTCTGGCATTGAGCTCTCCTCCACTGGGTTCCATGACAGTCTTTTCTACCCTCTCGCTCTTCTGCCCCTGCCTCTGCCTGGGCTGCTCCTGCTCTTCTGGCCTGTGGAGGGCAGGCCTTCTCTGGGCCTGGGCTTCCTCACGGAGGTTAGACCTGCACTTCCAAGTTACTTCCCAAAGATGGCACCTTTTTCTTAAATTTGCCTTTGCTTTATGGAAACCAAATGTTCCATTGCTCCTTCAACAGCGCTTCTCTATATTACAAACAAAAAGAGTCATTTTAGCTCCTATTTTAAGGCTCGTTTTGTGTTACCCAGATGTAACAAGCAATTAGCACACATACGAACCAGAAACACTCTTTAACACAACTCTAAATGTCCTACAATTTGATCTTGAGTAAATTTGTAATGGGATATCATACTGGAACAAGGCAACTCACTGAGCATGTGGTCTCTAACCATCCAAAAAAAAAAAAAAAAAATTGAAAACTAAACACACAAAGCCCTGTCGGTTCTATGCAGGCAGCCTCTTCTGGTTGGCTCCCAAATGGGCTTCAGCTGTGCTCTGCCACCCTTCCAACTTCTGATGATTGCTGTGATATCCCTCCCTCTAGTTCTCAGCTTCTCTGGCCCTGTCTCTTGGGAATAGGGATTTATCAGAGTGGATCTCTGCTCAGTCCTTGCATTTTTCTAAGAGAGTCAGAAGCTGTGATGGGGTCTTTCCTATGCCTGCATGTGTGACTGCCACAACATTCACATGTCACTAGTGGATGGTGCAAGAGCCGGAGGCTCACAGCCTGCTGCAGCCATGTGCCAAGACTCCTCAGGACTGTTGAGCAAGATCCAGGGTCTATCTGAGTGCAGGGTTAGGCGGTCTCATAGCAGTCTGTTCCCAAGTGACCTGCCCTGTGTGAAAGTCTTGGATCCTAAGGTTCCAATGAGATTTTCTGCATAGAGAATGTCCAAACAAGTCTCTGCTCTTCAATGATGGACAGAAAGGACAGCCTCTGTGAGGTCAGTATGTTGGGTGTATCTGGACTCACACTTTTACGCTACCCTTTTACTCTCTACCTTTGCTCTCCTAAGCCCTGGCTTATGAGTCCCTCCAGAAGACAGACCGACTGGGAGAGGTGGGGACCTGTGGCATAGCCCCCTCATCCACTCAGCACACAGGCCCATCACTGGACCTTTAGATCAGAGGTGGACAATTGGAGGGGCCTGAGAGGGATACAGATACATTTTGTTGGTTCCTTGAGCATCTAAAAATATTTCAAATTATTAACTGGCAGATGCAACACAGAATGCAGATTTTTATTTATGTTTAATAATATGAGCATCTGGCAAGATTTTATATGGTGCAAAAAAGTCAATTAAAGTTTATAATTGGAGGTCCTTGGCCTCTAAGAAGAGAGCCAATGCTGCCCAGTCCCCATCCTCACCCCTTCCTGCTGCGACCTTGCCGGAGATGCTGGGTTCTCCTGTAAACTTCCAAGTGCCTGAGTTTCCATCCCCTTTCCCAGACACACACCCCAGGGTTTGTCGCTGCGATGCAGGAGTCCTTCTGCCACTGCAACACTCTCCACAGAGATGGGCAGGTCCAGCCATCCTGGAGGGACAGGGCTGCCCAGGCACACACCAAGAGAAACCCTGTCAACTGGTCTCCAGTCGCTGCCTCCTGGACGCCTTCCCTGTCTCTGGGTCTGTCTGGCTCCCACAGCGCCCTTGCCTTTGCTCCTCCAAACCCACTTCCCCCTGGTGTCACTGCTTTCAGACATGGCCTCAACTCCTCCTTGACCTCCCTCCCCTGAAACTCTGAAACCTCTCGGATGGACTGCACCGGCCCTCACAGCCTTCTCCCCGAGTCTTGGGATGGAAATTCAACTGGAGATTTCTGGCCAATACTCCAACAGATGGAAAAAGCCAGTTTCCTTTGAATGGTTTTAAAGCTCAAATGGCTCAGCAGAGAGAGAGAGAGAGACTGTAAGAATTGTCTCCCAAAATCCCAGTGCTGCCTCAGTGCCAGGCCGTGCTCTATGGACATTATCCACGGGCAAGACTTAATGATAAGCCTTCTCTGCCGTGTTAGGACCTGGTGGCTCTTAATCCTGCTGTGCAGAGGAAGTCCTTCCAGCACCAGAAATCAGCCAGTCCACACACGGTGTCTGACGTCATTAGTTCTGGGTGCAGTCCAGTTCCATCAGAGACAGTTTCCTGCACAGCTGTAAAGTGTGCTGATTTTCCTCAGTGAGTGGCTAAGTGTGGGTCAGAGGTCTGGACACTTGCTAAGTTTGGAAGGTGCAGAAGAGGCAGGCTTCCTAACACGCTCAGTTCTCTGACTGGCCACCCTGGTTTACTGAGAGCCCTGCAGAACCAAGACGCCCATCGCGCCCAGCTGGAAGGGAGATTAGAATAAGTAAGATTTGTTTTTCTTTCCTTCCACTTCCCCAGAAGGCCTGGCCTGATGCCCAGGATGGGAGGAAACACAGGAACCAACCCTATCAGCAGAGACGCCTGCAGTGGCCTGAAGGAGCGCTTACCGTAGTCCCTGAACCACTTCTCCCGGATCAGGCTGCCGTTGCTCACGATGCTCACGCTGGGCAGGAGGAGCTCCTGCTTGCAGAACTTCACCAGCTGGCCCAGGTACTCGCCCCGGTCCTGAAGAAAGGGCTCTCCGCCAGAGAAGTTTATCTTCTCCATCCCTGCCAAAGGCAGAGTGTGAGGGTCTGCCTTCACCAAATCCCACTCTCATTTTTGTTTTATTTTGTGTCTTGTGCTGCTGAGCATCTCACCCAGGGCCTCATGCAGTGTGGGGAACACCTGAATACTGAGCTACACCCCCAACCCCATCCACTTTGGTTTTAGTGCAAGGTAATATTTTCTCCATGTTAAAAAAAAAAAGAAATGAAAATTTCTCATTATCCTCTCCTTTCCTAATTTGTGTTCCTAACACCAACCCCACCTCACCAGAATAACCATGCATTTAATTCAGGGTATAAACAGGGGGAAGAAAATCACTTGAAGATTTTGTTTTTGCTTTGTTTTTCCCTCCTTTAAGCAGATGCCCTTGGATGTTGGGAGTTCTTTACATAGAGGAGCTGACTTGGTTAGAAGCCAACGGGTGCAATGGCGCAACCCGGAGTCTGCAAAGCAAAAACCACCTCCTGAGACATGGGTAGAGCAGGCGGGGAAACAGCTCGACATGCCCCTGACACCCAGGCTCAGAAACTGGTTGTAGTTAGACCTGTGAGAGGGCTAGCTGAGGAGGGAAGGTAAAACATTATATTTTAGTAAGATGTCTACTTCCAGGGAGAGCAGAGTCAATGAGATGAATGACAAGAATCCTGCTGAGGAATGACAAGAACTTGAGCTAGGTCACTCTGAGAAGGACGAGGTGATGGGTCTCCACTTGCAAGATCAGCTGCAGATAACCAGCCGGCAAGGTGGAGCAAAGCAGGTCAGGGCCAGTCAAGTGCCGGTCATATGATCTCGTCCCCATAAAGCACCGAATCAGCAGCACCAGCCAGGGACACCCCCTGTGGGGAACCTGCTGGGCGTGGTCATTCTGCACCTAGGGTTCTGCTTTGTGAATCCACCTGCTGGGCACTTAGGCTGTGTGTGACTTGGGGCTTGTCTGCAAACATTCCATGAGAATGTTCAGAAGAAGACTTTGCAAAGTAGCCAGCGCCGGGGGTGTTCTAGGAAGGACAGGAGGGAGAAGAGCAGGCTTGGAGGGGGAGACGTGGCTCTCGGACTCCACTGCTGAGGCTGCTCTGAGGTGCTGGAACCGTGTAAAGGTTTGGATGTCCAGTGAGCAGTGCTCAAGAGCAAGGCCTCCCACAGGTGCTAGAAATAATTGTTATCCGTTTCCTATTAAGAGCACAGACATGATCCCAGACAGAAGGCTCAGATGTTGCTGTTCTAACATCCCATATTTCGTGTTTGTTTTCAACTTTCCTCATTAAATATTTCTGGAAAAAAAACAAATTCCTTGGTGCCCTGGACAAACTCTGAAAGTAGCATCACCCTCCTGACCTCCATCTCAATGCTGGGGGAAAGGGGCCTGCCAATGGCACAGACCAGGGCTGACAGGAGGGTGGGTGTGCCCACCAACCACCTGGCCAGGGCACCTCGGGGCTCAGGAAGACCAGGCATCTGCCTGCATTCTGGCCCTGGCACCTGGGACGACGTGTCTGTGGTGGCCGGGAGCCCTGTGGCCAGGGTGGCTGCCCCCGGCTGGATGGGCCCCCTGGGGTGGATGGGGCATCTTGACTTCTCTCTGGGCCTGGGACTCACCGGCTTCCTTGAGCAGGAGCAGCCCCCTCTTGGCCTCCTCCAGGGGCAGCACGAAGGACGTCTTGGCCGTGTGGAAGCAGAAGCCGCACCTGTAGTTGCACTGCCGCGTGAAGTGGTAGTTGACGCTCGTGGGGGTGATGGGCAGGTCGCCGTCCGCCTCCTCCTCCTGGCTCCCCTCAGCTCTCTCTCCGACCGGCTGCTGTCCCTTCCCTGTACCTGGCCACCAGAAGGCTGCCCTCAGCCAGTACAGCAGGGGGGCCAGGCCCCTCCAGAGCGAGTGCAGCAGGGGCTGCCTGAAGGCGCCCAGCAGGCGCGCAGCCAGAGCGGAGGGCAGCAGCATCCTCATGGTGGCCACGGAGTGCGGGAGGCCACGGCTCAGTTATATGAAGGTGGAAAGGGCCCGCCTCTGAGCATCCTGTCACAGCAGAGGGACACGCCCCCTCTGACTAACTCCCAGCTGAGTTAGTTTCGATTTTCCTCTTCACGAAAAGGAAAGTTGGAACCGGGCCAAGACCCAGGCTCCGGTCCGCAGGCTGCCTTCCTACCTCACCCTGTGCTGAGCACCTGAGCAGGTGCTTCAGAGACTGGTGCCCATCAGTCGTGTCTCTGTGCCCCCAAGACACACAGCTACCTCTGTAGGTGGGCTGCTCCCACTGAGGCCAAGCAGCAGTAACCTGAAGGGAGGGGACTGGCAATGCTCCAGATTGGGGACTTGTTTGAATTGGGGAGTATTTGCATATACCTAGTGAGATATTTTGAGGATGGGACCCAAGTCTCATTATGAAATTCATCCATGTTTCTATGTGCCTGGCACACATCCCCAGAAGTGGGCTTACACAACATTTAAACAGCTTTGTGCTAGAAATACATCTTCAGGAAGCAAACTCTCCACTTGTGGTGTCTTGTCAGTGCTGGGTTTCCAGTTAAGTGCATTATGGATTTGGATTTCCAGATGCTGAGACAGTATAACTGTGTGACGATGAGAGCCTTTGGAGGTAGGTGCTCAGGGAAAGTTTGTTATGATAGTCAAAGAGAACTACCTTAAGACCCCCTGCTGGGCATTTCTCCAAAGGAACAGAAATCAGGGCATGGAAGAGACATCGTCACATCCATGCTCACTGTGGCATTGTCCGTGACAGCCAAGATCTGGAGGCAAATGAAGGGTCCATCTGCAGATGAATGGGTGGGGACACAGAGTACCCCCACACCATGGAATCCTACGACTCTGCCTTCAAAAAGAAGAAAAACCTGTCAAGTCTAACTGCATGGATGAACCTGGAGGACATGACGTTAAGTGAAATAAGCCAGCAAAGAAAGACACATGCTGCATGAGCTCTCTGATGTGTGGAATGAAGGTATTTACACTCACAGAAGCAGAAAGTAGAAGGGTGGTTCCCAGGGATAGAGGAGTAGAGGCAATGAGAAGATGAAGGTCAGAGGACACAAGACGCTCGTTAGAGAGGAGGAGGGAGTTCAAGAGGTCCAGTGCACAACATGAGGACCCAGCTCATGGCCATGTCATTACTGTTGAAGGCACATAGTGGGAAGACCACTTGATCAGGGAGGATGGCTCTGCAGGGACTTCAGTCACCCAACCTACTTGTTGTGACAGGGTTAACATGTAGACATGTGTTCCTGAACTTTTAAGCTATTTCTAATAGACATTCCCAGCTAGGAAAATAGGATATTTTTCTAACCTGCTTCCTAATTGGGGAGAATCACCGTGGCTTGTAATTTCTTTGTTTTTATACTTTTCTCAGGAATAATTGTGATCACCCTTCTTTTTATGATCAGGGTGGTGTTGATCATGTGTCTTCAAGTGTTCCTCAGCTGAGCAAAGTTGGAACAGGCCAGTGGCTGGGCTTCAGGAGCCAGCTGTGTAACACTGTCATCTGCTCGACCACACAGTCACACACACTGCACACACGCCGACATGCCCCTGTCAAGGTGTCGATGCTACTTAATGCTCCTCTGTTGGAAGACCCCTGAGAACTGGATGTGCTCTGTTAGGGTTAGCTATTGTTTGTCTGAATGGAAATAGAAACAGCTCATTTTCCTGAACAGAGAAACCGAAAGCAAATTCTGCAAAACAAGAAGCACGTGTTTAACGATTGTCAATTATGCAACCATGGATGTGATCCAAGACTTTGAAATCGGGGCAAAAGCTATTTGAAACTTTTACACCACGGTCCGGCTCAATTGAGAAAGGCATTTTGCTAGATTACATATGTACGAAGAAATGAAAATCAGATCAATTATAGTTATAATACAGAGGATAAAACACAAGCTTTTTGAAACAAAACCTGTTAAAGAACTGAATCCTACCTCAGCCCAAATCACAAAATTTTGAATAGATTTCTCAACTTGCCTGATCTTGTTGGTCACCTGGGAGAAAAGAATGTCTAACTCACACAGGCATTTTAAAGATTCAGTGACATAATGTCGACATAGCCCAGTTGATTACTCATCTACTGTGATAAGGATTTGGAATGCCATTCCTGCACCTGTCTTGTGGTGCACATACGCAGGCCCCTATGCTGGGCCTGACCGACCACTCAATGGAATCCAGGAGTGGAATCCGTTGCTAAGACACACGAGTGTTCCCTGGTAGTGCAGACCTCCAGTTCTCCAAAGTGATCAGCTATCAGAACCGTTCAAGGGTTCTGTTGCTCCACATCTTGCTGACTGCTGTCATTGCGAAGTTGTTTTGTTTAATTTTAGTCATGGAGATGTTGTGATGACTCAAGGGAGTTTCAGTTTCCAGTTTCCTGATGACTGATGTTGTTAAACATCCTTTTATATATTTGTTAAGCCAGTTGGATGCTCTCTTTTTTGTGATGTGCCTGTTCAAATTCCTTACCCCCTAAATGAATGGGATGCACATCATCAATCCTGATATTTGTATAAGATGATCCTGAAAAGTTGGTATGGCAAGGTTTGTTGCTTATCCTGTGCACCCAGAATCTCCAGTCATTAACAGAAAGACCCTCTAGAGGGTTCTATTTCCAGGGTGTGGGCAGGGATGGCTCACAACTCTGGGCTTCCATAGAAGTAATCAACAAATGAGTACCTGGTTCTGTCTGGTAAACTTTCTTCACAGGTAGTCACATGAACTTCATTTCTTATAGAAAACCCAACTCCACAACACAGTATAAGGATGTCCTCCAAGTTGGAAATCCTCAAATTCATAAGAAAAAATAAACAAACAAACAAACAGATGCTCTGAGCAGCAGAGGCTTCGCCTGCTCCTGGCTGGGAAGTGACTTAAATTCTCAGTGCTTTCCACCCCATCCATGAGCTTCCTGCAGGGGACTCAAGCTGAGGGATCATCACTCCTTCCTGGATCTGCTTTGTGAATTCTCATTTTCTGAGCTCCACATTTATTTTGTGATATGCAAATCTGTTGATGTGGAGTTGTCTGAAGTGGGTTTTCTCTCTTCAGAATCCCTTTCCATTTGTGGTTCCCAACCCTAACCCTAACCCTAACCCTAACTCTAACCCCTAACCCTAACCCTAACCCCTAGCCCCTAACCCTAACCCTAATCCTAACCCCTAACCCTAAACCCTAACCCTAACCCCTAATCCTAACCCTAACCTAACCCCTAAACCCTAACCTCTAACACTCACCCTAACCCCTAACCCTAACCCCTAACCCTAACCCTAACCCCTAACCCTAAGCCCTAAGCCCTAACCCTAACCCTAACCCTCCACTGTATCCTTATCACTCTGATTTTCATTTCCTTTTCCCCACTTGAGAAAACTACCCAAAGCATACCTATTTAAGCAGGGTTTCAAAAATCTAGGCTTCTTTTTGGGGTTTTATTATTTATTAGTTGCTGCATTTATGTATGTTACAATTCTCTGGGCTTGTTTCCCCCATGAGCAGAATGGTTAGAGTAGTTTTCTTTTTCCTTTTGTAATTCTGTAAATGTTGAAGCCTATGGTTTTCCCTAGGAATACAGCTGTTCTATTCATTCCTTCAAAGCCACCTCTTTGAAGAGCCTTCCCAGCCTCCAGATCCGCTTCGATAGCTTTCTACTGGCAAGTTTATTCAACCCAAGCATTCAGCTGGCACTATCAGAGACTCTGTCCTAGGACTTTAAAATATGAACAGTATTTCTTTTTGAGTAAAGATATTGTATCTTCAATCTCTAACACATATTTAATATGCACGGATCTCATCTACTCGAGTGTCATTGAAGTACTACATCTCCTCATAGGACAGAAACAGGTGCAAATGAATATAAAAACTTATGATAGGATGGTTCATTTAGCAAACTATGTGCTGGGTTGTATTTCTGTTGGATTCTCAGAGACGAGCTCACCATCTTGGTGCTTATCCCAAGGTGTTCAGGGAGTAAACAAGACTGGCAAGTGAGCTGTGACCTTGCGAGGTCCTCGGATACACACCGAGGTGAGGCGAGGCTACTGACCCAACATTTGGAGAAGTGAGGAGGTGTACTGTGCCCCTGCCCAGTTCCTCGGAACGTGGCTGCACCTAGAGACAGGGCTTTAATGAGGGGTTAAGTTAGAGATGAGAACATTATGGTGGCCCTAAACAACTGAGTTCTCATCAGGATAGGAAATCAGAGGGCCATCCGCAGGCTCAGAGAGGCCCCGGGGAAACAACCCCCTGGCACCTTGGTCTGACTTCTGGCGGCCTGAGCTTTGAGGAAAGAAACTTTCTCTTGGTCTAGGAGCCCATCTGGGTCTCGGTATGGCAGCCGCAGTATACTAATGTGCTAAGAGGGGCCTGGCTGGGGATGGCCCAGCCAGCCTGTGGGAAGACCTTGCAACTAGGCTTGCAGGAAGACATCTTGCTCAGAAGCAAGAACAACACTTCTCAGAGAGCTCCCTCCACCCTCCACTCCTCATGGTTCTTACACATCAACCACACTACTACAAGGTCTTAGATTGGGTCAAAAGAAACATTTTTTCAGCATAAAACATATCCCAGGTGTTGATCCAATTTGATAGAGACATGAATTCAGAAAATTAAGAATCTCAACTAAGAAATTAGGGCATTTGATTGCTTTTAGTTCACCTAATATTTTCTCTTTGTCTCAATTCTAAATTTTTGAGATTTTTCCTTTGAGAAATGAAAAATTTTTTCATTTATTTCTTCTTCTTCTTCTTTTTTTAAATCTGTGCATTTTGATGTAGGCTTCACTTACCTTAATGCAGGAAACTTTCATTTGGTATACCAAAAGCAATGCTGAGGTGTCAATCTGAGTGACAATCTGGGCAACATTCCGGTTTTCAAGTCAGCTAAAGGGGCAGAGAATTCCAAAGCAAGCACGTGAGGTGCACTCACTGTTGGGGTAGAGAAAACCTCTCCGCAGGACT